CTCTTCTTCTTCTTCTTCTTCTTCTTCTTCTTCTCTTCTCCCTCTTCTTCCTCTCTTCTTCTCCCCACGCCCCACAGCTCGTCGCTGCAGCCCTCGCTGCAGCCACCTCCTCTTCTTCTTCTTCTTCTTCTTCTTCTCTTCTCCCTCTTCTTCCTCTCTTCTTCTCCCCACGCCCCACAGCTCGTCGCTGCAGCCCTCGCTGCAGCCACCTCCTCTTCTTCTTCTTCTTCTTCTTCTTCTTCTTCTTCTCTTCTCCCTCTTCTTCCTCTCTTCTTCCTCCTCTCTTCTTTTCCCTCTTCTTCTTCTTTTCTTCACTCCTCACGCCCCACCGCTCCTCTCTGTTTCTCGATAAAACCGAGAGTGCGTGGGAGGCGGTGGGATAAAACCGAAATTTTCGGTTCTTTATTTTCTTTTCATTTTGCAACTTAGCAGTTTAGTCCTTGAAATTTTTATATTTACATATAGGTCCTCAAATTTACATATAATTTTTTATTAATAATTTTCAAAAGTGAGGGATATTACAATCAGGCAATCCCGTCACACTTCCGCCTCCCCTCGCTGGACGCGTATGACGGTGCCGCTGACCCAACGGACCACATGGCCGCTTTTCACGCCCAGATGGCGCTATACAGGACTTCTGACGCCTTGATGTACAGGGCATTCCCAACAACCCTGCGGGGGCCAGCCCGCGCGTGGTATAGCAGTTTGAAGGCCGGAACCGTCGCCTCCTTCGACCAACTCGCCAAAGATTTCGAGCTTAACTTCCTAGCTTACGCTCGACCAAAATCGTCCGTGGCATTACTCCTCGGACTCAACCAAAGGGAGGACGAGCCCCTCTCCCATTTTGTGAACCGCTTTACGACGCAAATTCGCGGGCTGTCGGATGCTCACCCCTCTCTATTGATGCAGGCATTCATGACAGGCCTGCGGCCTTCCAGGTTCTTCTGGTCTCTCGTGGAACGACCCCCCGCCGCGGTCCCCGAAATGCTTCAGCGTGCTGGCCAGTTCATCGCTGCGGAGACATGGATGGCTGGGAAGCGGGAGGAGCACAAAAAAGTCATGTCGGAGCCCCCCCGACAGCAACAACCCACCGCGTCCCGTCGTAAGTTGGACAGATCCGACCCAAGGCCTCCTCTCCCCGCCTTGAATTCGTCACGAACGGAAATATTTCTCCATGAGAAGGGGAAGGGACTACTCAAGGAGCCCCACCCAATGAGGAACCCGCGAGAGCTCGCGAACCGTTCAAAATACTGCCGCTTCCATCAGCAACATGGGCACGACACTGAACAGTGCCGTGAGCTAAAAAGGCAAATCAAGGAGCTCATCCGCCGAGGGCATCTCGGCCACTACCTTCTGCCGGACAAAGAGCTATCACCTCACCCGGAGGGCCCCGTCAAGAGACACATCGACGTAATCGCTGGCGGCCCCGCATCGGGGGGGGGGGGGGGGGCTCCATCTCGGGAAGAAAGGCGTACGCCCGAGCCGCTCCAGACGTAACCTTTGGACACGGGCCCGAGCCTGAAATCACCTTCCCGACCGGGGTATCCGAGCAACCCGAACACGACGACGCCCTTGTGATATCGGCTAGGGTGGCCAACGCGCAGGTAAGAAGGATCATGGTCGACATTGGGAGCTCGGCCGATATACTCTACTTCGACGCCTTCCAGAAGCTCGGCTTGGCCAGGGAGAATATGAGGCCAATGAGTTCAGCGCTCACCGGATTAACAGGAGATTTGATATCACCTCTGGGGGCTATTACTCTGCCCTTAACCCTAGGGGTCCCGTCGAGGTCGAAGACGGTAATGACCACCTTTTTGGTGGTCGACCTTCCCACTGCTTACAACACCATACTCGGACGGCCGACCCTCAACAAGGTCAGAGCCGTCGTCTCGACCTACTACCAAACCATCAAGTTCCCGACTCACGCTGGGGTCGGGGAAGTTACGGGAAGCCCCCGAGAGTCCAGGCAGTGCTACCTGACCGCCGTTTCACTACACAAGAGGACCAGGATCGAGCCGTCGCTGGAAGATCCGCGGGAAACAAAAAAGTCGGCCCCTCATCCCGAGCCGAGGGGGTCCACCGTGGATATACCATTACAAGAAGCCCGGCCTGACCGGACGGTCAAAGTTGGTTCGGAACTACCCGAACAGGAACGAGAGCAGCTCGTCGGCCTCCTGCAGGAAAATGCCGACGTCTTCGCCTGGTCCCCATCTGACATGACGGGCGTCGATCCAGGAGTTGCACAGCACCACCTCAACATGCCACCTGATGCTCGCCCGATGAAACAAAGACCCAGGCGGCAAGCCCCTGACCGGCAACGTGCCATACGAGAAGAGGTGACCCGTCTCTTAGCGGCAGGCTTCATAGAAGAAGCCAGGTATCCTCAATGGTTGTCCAATGTAGTCCTTGTGAAAAAATACAATGGAAGCTGGAGGATGTGCGTTGACTACACTAGTCTCAACAATGCATGCCCGAAAGACTGCTACCCCCTCCCGAGGATCGACCAGCTGGTCGACGCGACGGCCGGACACGCACGCCTCTCTTTCATGGATGCTTATTCGGGATACAACCAAATCAGGATGGCACCCGAAGACAAAGAGCATACGGCCTTCCTCACCGATCAAGGGGTGTACTTCTATAAGGTCATGTCGTTCGGATTGAAGAACGCCGGGGCCACATATCAGAGAACGGTGAACAAGATGTTCGCCCACCAGATCGGGAGGAACATGGAAGTTTACGTGGACGACATGATCGTGAAAAGCCAAGAGGCCGGAGCACACGTTACCGACCTGACCGAGGCGTTCGCCACGCTACGCAAGTTCGGTATGCGACTTAACCCCACAAAATGCGCCTTCGGTGTCACCTCCGGGAAATTCCTCGAGTTCATCATACACGAAAGAGGGATTGACGCCAACCCGGTGAAGGTCCAGGCAATCATCGACATGCAATCACCCCGGACGATCAAAGACCTGCAGCGACTTAACGGAAGGCTTGTTGCCATGTCTCGCTTTCTCGCCCGGTCGGGTGATCGCTGCCTCCCCTTCTTTAGGGCGCTCAAAAACCCGAAAAGCTTCCAGTGGACGACGGAGTGCGAGGAAGCTTTCAAACAAACGAAACAACACTTGGCCAACCTCCCCCGACTCGCCTCTGTTTCTCCCGGGGAAAAGCTAGGCCTCTACCTAGCGGCCTCCCCCCATGCAGTCAGTTCCGTCCTGATCAAAGAAAGCTCTGGCGAACAACTTCCGATCTACTACGTCAGCCACATCCTAAGCGGACCCGGGGGGCGTTACCCGCCGATAGAGAAACTCGCGCTTGCCCTGGTGCTGTCAGCTCGGAAGTTGCACCCCTACTTCCAGGCCCACCCGGTGGAGGTCATCACCGACCAACCCCTTCGGCAGGTTTTATCTAAATTTGATGTTGCAGGACGACTCCTCAAATGGGCGGTGGAGCTCGGTGAACATGATATAAGATACGTGCCCAGGGCTGCCATCAAGGCCCAGGCGGTAGCCGACTTCATCACGGAGCTAACTCAGGTGGCAGATGGGGATCTCAAGCAACCTCCCGAGGCTTGGATCCTACACGTGGACGGCTCGGCCAGCTCAAAGGGTGCCGGCGCGGGACTGGTTCTTCTTGCCCCCGACGACCGCTTGTTCGAGCGCTCCCTCCGCTTCGGGTTTAAAGCCACTAACAACGAAGCGGAATATGAGGCGCTCCTAGCAGGACTCAGGTTGGCCCTCGAGATGCAGGTGGCTGCTATACACGTCCTCACTGACTCGCAGCTTGTGGTCGAGCAGCTCAGCGGTGGATACGAGGCTCGGGACCCAACCATGGCGAAATACCTGGCACGGGTAAGGGACCTGGCTGCTAAGTTCCCTTATTTCACATTGTCCAATGTTCCAAGGGAGGAGAACGAGCGGGCCGATGCGCTGGCTAAGCTGGCGTCGAAACCGACCTACGAAGCATGGCCAGAGGTCGAGGAGCTTCCTGCCCGCGCCATCGAAGTAGCGACTACAGTCCCCGGTAGTGCGCCGATCACATGGGTGCAGGAGCTGCTACGCTTCAAGCAGGATGGGACCCTTCCCCACGATGAAGTTGCGGCTCGGCGTCTGCATCGTACACACGCGTGGTACACTGAAGAGAGTGGCCGGCTTTATAGGCGGTCCTTCACCTACCCCTTCCTACGATGCTTGGAACCCGACGAGGCCCAGACGGTCCTGGCCGAGATCCACGAGGGAGTCTGCGAAGAACACAACGGCGGGTGAACCTTGGCACACAAAATACTTCGCCATGGTTACTACTGGCCGACCATGTGCCGGGACACGAAAGCTTACGCACAGCGGTGCAGTTCGTGCCAAGAACACGCCCGCGCACCCCGACAGCCCGCGGTCCCACTTAGCTCCATCGCGTGCGCGTGGCCGTTCGCACAGTGGGGGTTGGACCTGCTCGGACCTTTCCCACCGGCCTCGGGGCAGCGAAAGTACTTCATCGTGGGAGTGGATTATTTCATGAAGTGGGTCGAGGCCGAGCCGTTGGCGACAATCACGGAGCAACAAATGGAGAAGTTCGTGTGGAGAAACCTGGTGACTCGGTTCGGGTTGCCCAAAACCATCATTACGGATAACGGACCTCAATTCGCCGGTAGAAGGTTCCAGGAGTTCTATGCCAGCCATGGCATCCAACTAAGGTTCAGCTCAGTGGCCCATCCTCAGACGAACGGGTTGGCAGAGGTAACCAATCGGTCCATCTTGGACGGACTCAAAAGAAGGGTGTCCGCAGCCCGATCGACCTGGACCGACGAACTCCCTAGTGTCATATGGTCACTACGCACCACTCCCAAGACCGCAACCGGAGAGTCCTCGTACAGTCTGACGTTCGGAACCGAAGCTATCCTGCCACCCGAGGTGGCTATCTCCACCCTTCGGACGAGGAGCTACGACGAGGAAGTCTCGAACGAGGGACTCCGAGCCAGCCTCGACATGCTCGAGGAGCGGCACGCTTACGCACACCTGAAGGCCCTCTCTTATAAGAGAGCCGTCGCAAGGGTCTACAACAGGAAGGTATGACCCCGACCGATTAAGTTAGGCGTCCTGGTCCTCCGAAAGGCCGAGGTCAACGACCCGACCCGAGCCAGGGGGAAGCTAGCCCCCAAATGGGAAGGACCTTATCGGGTCGTCGAGGTAGTCCGACCGGGTACTTACCGGCTCATGACAATGGACGGTTCTCCCTTGCCGAGAACCTGGAACGTCGGGAACCTTAAGAAGTTTTTCGTCTGAAACAAAGAAACCTTTTTCGTTTAGAGAAGAAGAACTTCTTTCCGAAGGAAGAAGCTTTTTGCCTAGGAAAAGAAGGAGACAATAAGACGAAAGGAGAAAAGTTTTTCCTTTTATTGAAGAAAGCAAGCCAACTTATAGGACCCGACTTACAAAAACCGACTAGCAAAAAAAAAATACAGGACCCTTCTTCATTGTTGGGGCTCCTCCAGGCGATCGTCGAAGGGGACCTCCTCGGGCATGTCCACCCCTTGGTCCTCGAGGTGAGGAGCGAAGGGGTTATCCTCCACCTCGAGACCAGGGTGACGAGCGCGAAAACAGGAAGTAGCGATTCGGTATCCATATTCGAAAGATACCTGCCCCGTCTGCGTCAGCCCAAGCTCGAACCCCTCCGACTTCTTGTATGCCTCGAGGAGCTCCTTGTTTTTCGCGGGTCGAAGTTGGGCCTCCTCCGCCAATGCTTCCGAGGCCGCTCTCGCTTCGGCCTTCGCCCCCTCCAGCTTCTTGCTAAGGGAGCTCGCCTCCGACTTCAACAGTCGGAGCTCGACCCGCTCCAACCTTATTGTCCTTTGGAGCTCCTCGTTCGCCTTTTTTGAGGCCTCGAGCTCTGACAAGAGGCGAACCGCCTCTGCCTCAGACTCAGCCACGCGCCTCTCGACGGCTGCCACGGCCTCTGGACCGGCCCCGGCGCGAACCTCCTCAACCTGGCGGTGGAGCTCGGCATTGCGGTTGATGAGGCCCCCGATGATCCGCCCGGCGTCACGCACCCTGTCCATCAGGGCCGTCGCATAATGGAGGATCTGCGGTAGGAAAGGACGGGTTAAAAAGGGGGTGGTGTTAGGCAAACAAGACTAGCCGAAGCAAGAAGGAAAGTACTTACCCAGATCAAAGATTGGGCGGACTTGTTAAGCAACGCCTCCGAGGGCAGGACATATAAATCCCGAGCCATGTCGGGATGAAGCGCGCCTCGAAGGAACGTCGCGGTGGGGTCCCCTCCAGCCCACACTCTGTCCCCCCGGGACAAACCCCCCCAGCGGGCGACTAGGGGGTCGCTGGGCCTCCCGAGTGGAGCCTCCCCTACCAGTCGCGTCAGGAACGGCTCCCCGTCCCCGGCTGGTAGTCGGCACAAGTCACGCACGGAGGTTGGCCGCGGATCCTTCCCAGCCGCATGCCGGCTGGGCCCAGCCTCGCCCCGGCGGGGGCCTTCCTCAGCCCCCTTTGAGGGTG